TAGTAAAAACATCGTCGCGCTATCAACGTTACCCAAACGGGATTTGATTGGTATCTATGCTGGCCTAGAGGCAAACAATCTACTGTCCAGAAAACAAGACTCTCAAATCACTTTTATGTAGGGCAATATTGTATCTATATGTCATTAGCGAGGGCTGATAAAAAAAGAGGATTAACAGTCCTGGACTTATGCTGGTCAAAGAAACAAAATGCAATAAATAACGCATAAACACATAATTCATACCTGGGCTTAATCGATCTGCGTGTCCCAAATTAAGTATGATTTATCGGCTCTTTTAAACAAAGCAAAAGGTAGGCCAATATGAATTCCCGATAGACGTCTGAGTAAGAGAAGAGCGCATTTAAATCCATCCCTGTTGTTACAACCGCCACGTATGCAAGCAATATGCATGATGTAAAAGAATGGTGATGAAGTTTTTGCCCGTCCTCTCGCATAATATAGGGTTGTATGGAAGATGGAAACTGTATTAAAGATTAGGCAATGGACACTCAGTATGGATGATGGAATATAATTCAGTGATAAAATCAGGTCATCTCATCGATGCAGTACGGAACGGCTCACCGTCTTGATACAGATAATTGTGTATAAAGCATAGCCTGGTATGTTATTGACATCGCCAGAGCCAGAAACCACTAGTTGTGAATAATTCGCCATAAATACCAATGCAAAAACTAAGCCCGGCCAAAATCTTATTTCCATGGTTGGAATAATTTAGATTAAAAAGTAATATTACATTTATGTATAAAAAGAAGATTGGTTTCGAAGACTAACTAAAAGGACTGATGTCGGTGTACCTCATAGAACCAAGTATACCAAGAGTTTCAATTAGTCAGACTATTATAATTGATTTGACGTTGCGTCAGAACCATAGTTGACAAGAAGTTAGAATAAAAGAGACATGCACTGATCTTCAATAAACCCCTCTGAGCAACTTGGCAGCATCATTTAAACAGTAGGCTAGAATCGGCATTGATATACGTTGGTTAGCTTCCACATAGTGATCTGCTGTTGGCTAGGATACCAAAGAATTTGATACTGGCGCAACTTTCATTTTGTTTGAGAAGGCGGGTCGAAGGGATCCCTAGAGTGGGCTCACCGGATACCAAGGAGGGTTCCCTTGAACCTTTGTTTGTTGAATTGTGCGAAGAAGACCTAGGCTCAGCGTCCTACGACTCAGATGACTCCGTGCCAATCTACGAATTCCTTTGAACCGCCTTCTCAAAGGTACGCCTGTATCAATCTATTCAGGGATTCTTCGAAACCTAGCTTCTCTTAAATACCAAAGAAGTTATTGCTGAACACGAGCCAAGAATTAGTGAGCAGGCAACAACAAAACATGTAATCCTCACATAAAAACCATTATTATCAAATCGATTGCCTACCTCCTCTCCAAGACTTAGTTCCTCTTGAAGGGTTTTGGAGCCAGTCTGCAACCTTATATAAGGTTTAAAGGGCATCTTACAGTCAGGTCCGTAGGCAGATTCTATAGCCCAGTCATTAGTGGAGTCGTTAGAGGCGCTGGATTTAGGACTTTCGGGCAGCTGGGAGTCCCGAAGTTGTGAAAGACAGTCAGCATGCACCCTAGCCAGTCGGGAATAAGCCTTTATGAGGTTGATGATAGCAGATAAATAGCCAGATAAATGAGAATACTGCATTGAGCACGAGGCCTCGGACGCTTCGGTCGAGGAACCGGCTGCATAAAGGCAAAGAAAGCAATAATAGATATGCTACAGCAACTAAAACATAGACCGTAGATATAAAGACCTAGGTGGGGCTTGGACTTGGTCGCAGTCTCCTTTAGCTGTATATTGTTGGTCTTACCTCGTGTTTCTAACTTGGTCGGAGCGACAAACAAACCTTGTGGAATGTTCTTCATTCTGAGCCCTCTACTATAGTATTCATGATAATTTACAAAATGAACTAATGCATAGCCTGCCCAATACTTTAATTTAAATTAGCCTGACTTCAGATAAAGAAATAACAACTTTTTAAATAGGATAAGGTATACACACAATAGCTTTTCGTATTTCGAACGACTCATAGATAAGAATCGATCCCAAAACGAACACCTCCAAAAAATGATAGGCATTCAAAACCTAGTTTCTCTTTATATCGAAAATCCAATAAGCCTCACAGTTAATGCATATACAATCAGTTCATCGCTTTTATTTAATGACAGTGGCTGATAGTTCAAAGAAAGGCTTCCAGCTTGACAAAAGCTCTTAACTACTAAACAACTTTCTTAAAGAAGTGGGTTGACCTCGTTGTCACAACTTGATCTTGTTGTCAGGGCGACTTAGAAGAACGCACCTTGTCCGAAGTCCTCTGTCATAGTAGTTATCATAATTCCCAGCATCAGACCGTAGACTTGGTACATTCTCAGACCAGGTGCACCAAGTCCACAGTCTGATGCTGGGAAGTATGATAATTACTACGGCAGAGGACTTCGGACAAGGTGCCTTCTACTAAGTCGCCCTTACAACAAGACCAACTTGCGACGAGGTCAACCCAGTTCTATGAATCGTAAGGAGATAACGAACATACTGGGGGCCCCACAATCTTGGTCTTCATATTTTTAACTTCTTTAAATTCATGTTGGAGTAAATTTCATCTGGTTTGAAGAGGCAAGTGGAAGATTCTTTAAAGATTCAAATTATTAATTATCGTGACAACCATGTGGCAGAAACGAATTAGACAGAAAAATTATATGACTACTCAGCTATAATAAAATAATATGGAAGATATAAGGACCAAGATAGTGTAGCACTCGATATCGTCGCAGTCTCTTTTCGATATATAGAAGCGGTTTAACCTGGTTTTCTCAACTTGGTTTTGTTTTCAGGGGGACCTAGTTGGACTCACTTTGTCCAAAGTCCTCTGATATAGTAGTTAGCATAATTTCCAGTGTCAGACCATGGACTTGATACATTATAAGACGTTTCGCTGGAATCGTAGTTGGCATCATCAGTGAGTCTTGTATTCTCAACATCAAGCCACAATTCGTCAGAGACAAGCAAACTCAGAGAAAATAAGGGTACGGCAAAACCAGCAAAAAGAATACGCCTGGATCAAAGACCTATCGCTAACCAGAGAAAAAGGGATTGCAAAGAGTAAGGATATGGGGAAGTT